GCTGGCTCTGCTGGCTCTGCTGGCTCTGCTGGCTCAGCTGGCTCTGCTGAGGCTGCAGACGCAGACGCAGAGGAGGCAGAGGCAGATGCAGAGGCGCAAGGTGGCTCTGCAGCAGAGGCCGACGAGAGGCACGCCTGCGTGTCTCCTGCTTCTTCTTCTTGCGACTGCGGCTGCGACTGCGACTGCGGCTGCGGCCGTGGTGCGTGTGGAGTCGAGGTGGAAGCGTCTGCCGCAGTCCCTGTCGAAGTCGAAGTCGAAGGCGAGGGCGAGGGCGAGGTTGCTGCCGGCACGTGCACTCCTCTAGATGTCTTGCGCTCTGCGTGTGCCTCCTTCTCCCTCTCCTTCGGTTCCTCCCAAAACGTCCTGCCCACCACATCCACATGCAACGTCCTACACTGCATCTTCATCTTCTTCTTTCCCCTTGCCTCGCGCGCGGGGGGTGCGGCTTCCTCCGCGGCGCCCTGCTCCGCGGGTGCGGGAGCGGCGGGTGCCCAGGCAATCGTCGTGCCTTTGCGGAACATGGCGGGCAGCGCATCGTAGTTGATGCCGAAGCGTCCATGCAGAATCTCATGCTTGTCCGCCGCCAGCGTGTCCTTGAGCACGGCGTGCGCCTCGCGCTCGGAGAGGCCACCTTGGAGGATTAAGGCCCAGAAGGTCGTGTTGTAGAGATTGTTGATGTGCGCTGTTTTTCGACAAGGGGAACGAACGCCGCCGGGAAAGGGGGGGGGGAAAGAGCTGTAAGCTTACACAGCGCCGGTGAGAGTAGGGCTCAATTGAAACACTGCCAAACCACGAGCGAACGAGCGACGAGGAGAACGAGTCGGACTCGTTGTTTTTTCCTGCATGCCCTACCGACATTCCGCCCCCCTCCCCCCCACCCAGCTGTTTCACTTGTAGTATTCTCGCTCCTTCTCCGCCTCGAGCGTGCCAGCGCAGCCACAACTCACTGTCCGCTCCTCTCCAGGCAAAGTAGTCGCGCACCTCCTGCTCCGTCGGGTACACGACGAGGCGGCCGTCAAAGATGGGCAGGTCGCGCAGGGGGCAGTGTGTGTCAAAGTAGGCCGGCCAGAAGGAGACGTAGGCAGCGGTGAAGAGCGAGGTGATGTGCGAGAGCAGCTTGGAGGCGCGGCGAGAATAGAGAGTGCAGCGCCGACGCAGGAGAAAGCTGGTGGGCAGGGTGAGCAGAGAGTAGGGGAGGTGGAGGAGGCGCACGCACGAGTACTCGTCGCTCTCGCCATACGCCAGCGTCACGTCGGGCTTCATGCGCCGCACCACCTCCTCGGCCGCGCGGTTGGCGAGCAGCAGGGCGCGCACGTCGTTGGGCTTGGCAAAGGCGTGCAGCGTGGAAAAGGCATGGAAGCCCTTGCCGTCCAGACGCACGATCATGTACGTGTTGGGCAGCACCGCGGTGGAGGACTCGTAGGACCGCACATAGGAGAAGCGCGAGACTGCCATCGCTTGCTGAGGAGAGAGGTGAGGGTGGGGAGAGAAGAGAGAAAGGAGGAGGAGGCGAGACAACAAAGGTGAGCCTGAGGCGCAGCAAGAGCGGCCCCGAGTCCCGAGACACGCGACCCCCGCCCCCATCATCGCCCACCGCCGCCGATCAGGCCTGCACAGCCCGCAGTGCAGGCGTTGGCAAGACACAGAGCAATGCATGGAGCAGTCGCTAGCTCACGGCAGGCTGCGTTGCCCGTCGTGGGACCATGAAGGCACAGCAGACGCCCGATGGCGAGGGCCTGGCGCGTCAAGGCGCGCGCGACAGCGAGGGGCGCAGGCAAGGCGTCAGCGCGCGTCTCGTGCGCGGTGTTTGTTGACGCTTGACGCGCGCGCTTTGGCCGCCTTTGTCTCTTGCGTCTCCACCTCGACGCACTCCCGCTTCTCTCTTCACGCGTCTCACCGCGCTTCGGCTCTGCTTTCCTCTTCGCTCTGCGCCCTCCAGCTCGCAGGTGCGCGTCGACGAGCAGCAGCAGCGGCCAGGGCCGCTCCAGCGCCAGAGAGGTCGGCGTCGGCCATGTCGGCGCGCCCAGCCGCGGCAGCGAGCGCTGTGGCCGGCCCAAGCTCCAGCCAAGCCTCGGCGGCGGCAGCGGCAGCGGCAGCTCGTCGTGCCGGCGGCGCATCGACGGCTCGCTCGCAGCCCAGCGGCAGTGCGCCGCACGCCTCTGCCTCTGCTGCTTCTGCTTCGCATGCCGGTGCCGCCTCGCACGCCTCGCAGTCGCAGCAGGCGCAGGCGTCCTATGCCATGCACGGCCTCTCGCAGCCCAGCGGCACGGCAGACGCCGTTGCGCCCTCGCGCTCCAGCGGCCACAGCAGCGGCGGCACCTCGCTCGCCTTGCCACGCCCACCCACCACAGCCATGGCGCCCTCGCTGCCCGACTATGCGCATCTCTCCACGCTCGACGCTGCCTCGCTCGTCGCCAACGTCTTGGCATTCAACGGCCTCACGCCTGCCTTTCCCTCCGTCTCCTCGCCTGCCTCAGCCTCGCAACCAGACGTTTTGGCCCGTCTGCTCTCTCTCTCCCTCTCCTTCTCCTCCCTCTCGCCTCCCGACCATCTCAGCAGTGCCCTGTACGCCTTTCTCGCCCTCTCCCTCTCGCCCCACTCGCTGCGCGCCCGCACGCTGCTGGCCGAGGCCCATCTCGCCTCCACGCTGCCCTTCCCCCTCGACGCGCCGCCCCTCTCGGCGCGCGCAGGCGCCCACGCCGCCATCGAGCTGCTCACCGCGGGCCCGGCAAGTGTCTTTCGCGACGCGCAGGCGGCAACGCTGTATGCGCGCGCGTGCGGCGTGCTGGGACGCTACGAAGAAGCAAGCGCCGCGTTGCGCTGGACGGCCGATGCCTCCTCCTCCTCCGACGACGACGACGATGCCTCGACTACGCCTCCGGCTTCCGCTTCCTCCTCGACCGCAGCAGCAGCGCTGCCACACCTCCCCGGCGAGGCAGTGCGCGCCCAGGCACACGCCCAGGCGCAGCTTGGCACCCTGGCTTATAAGAGTGGCAAGCACGAAGAGGCGGCCAGACTCTTTGCGGCTGCGGGCGTGGATGCGTGGAACTGGCGGGCGTGGTGTGGGAGGTGCGATATTGGTGAGTCCTTCTCCCCCCCCCCCTCCCCCTACATACTTCCGCCCGATTCTGCGCGCACCGGAGAGAGCGAAGACGGCGGCGCGCTGACGTTCCGCCCCCCTTCCTCCCTTCCTTCGCTCTTCTGCCTCACCAGCGACGGATCCTCCGGCGCATCATGTCTTTTCCGGCTCCCTGTCGGCGCACAACGCACAGGCCTTCTTTCCCGCCTTGCTGCTGCAGCGTCTGGCGCACGCGGGCATTGCCGTTGCCGCCCAAGGCGCCCTCTCGTGGGCGCCGGGACGCGCGCCCGGCGAGGAGGAGCTGCGGGCAGGGAGCAAGGGAGGTGCAGAGGAGAGGTGAGTGGATTACAAGCGTGTTTCGTGTCGCGGGGCAGAGAGGCGCAAGACGGCTCACAACTCGCATGTGAAAGCAGCGAGACGACGCAGCGCGCTCCACGAAGCGCACGACCGCCGTCCGCCAACAGTGCCTCGACGACGACGACGACGACGCGCAACACTTCAGCAGCGTCAGCAGCACTGGCGCGAGTGCCGCCCCACGTACGTCCCGGCACGCGCGCCGTAGCTCCTTCGGCGGCGCTCAGCGCAGGGACCAAGCGATTGCGCGGTGTCGGTGCCGCTGCTGGTGCTGAGGGTGCTGCTGCGGGCGCAGGCGCGACGCGAGCGGCTTCCACAGTGACGAGTGTGGCTGCTCGAGGCAGAGCAGCACCAGCACGCCAAGGCTTGGCATCAGGACGTACAAACGAACAAGCTGCCGCTGTTCGACCTGCCAGTGCCGCCAGTGCCGCTTCGGCACGCAGCGGCGCAGGTGGCGACGAGGAGAAGGTGACGATTCCGCCGCCGCTGCCTCCCCTGCCGCCGAGCAGCGCTGCGTCGAGCACGCGCCGCACGACGAGAGCGGCCAGTTCTACTGCGGCTGCCAATCGAACGAGAACGACGGTTCGCACGGCTGCACTGCCGCGCACCACCACGACGGCCGCAGCGTCGACAACCTCCTCTAGAGGCGCACCTTCCTCCAGTGTCGCCAGCACCGTCGGCGCCGCTCCTCGCGTGCGCAAAGTCATCGAGACGTCCAGTGCCTCCTCCGACGATGCTCCACTAGGACGCCGAGCTGCGTCCGACGCGCAGCGTCTGCGCGAAGCCATCGCGCTCTGCGTCGACGAAGCTGCGCTCGCGGCGAGCACGGCGGCGGCGCACTGGAGTGCCGTCGACTGCGAGATTGTCGATGTGCTGCGCACGATCGGCGAGGCCTACGGCGCGCTGAGGCGCCATTTGGGCAGAAAGGCCACGTGGCTTCTGCGGCCGATGGGAGGCGAGAATACGACGGCATGGAAGGATGAGGGCGATCGAAGACGCGGAGGCCTTGCAGCGTATCTGCGAGACACGCCGACCATTCGCGTCCTGCTCGCCGTCGCCGCAAGGGAGATGGGCCGGTACAAGGAGGCGGAGACGCACTTTCTCTTTGCGCGGCGCGGCGATGCCAGCATGATGGCGCAGATGGACGTCTACTCCATCGTCCTCTTCCATCTGGCGCGCGAAGTCTCGCTCTCCAAGCTCGCGATGGAGCTTTCCTTGCTCGATGCGGACGCGCCACAGACGCACATTGCCATTGGCAATGCCTTTGCGCTGCAGCGCGAGCATGCCGCCGCACTGCGAGCCTTTCGCCGCGCCGCACTGGCGGCGCCCGAGTATGCGTATGCCTATGCGCTGGCGGGCCACGAGGCAAAGGCCTTGGCGCAGCACGCCAAGGCGGCGGCCTTCTTTCGCGCCGCGCTGCGCGCGGACCAGAGATGCTGGATCGCTTGGGCGGGCCTGGCGGATGTGTATTGCTCGGCGGAACAGCTCGACCTGGCAGAGTATCATTGGCGCATGGCCCTCGCCATCAACTCGGACAATGCGGTGCTGTGGGATCTGTACGGACGCGTGAGTGGCGCCAGTCGCCCCCAGTCCCCCCCTACCCACCCTTCCCACCCGAAGCGATGGGGGGGGGGGGGGGGCAACATGCAAGTGGGCTCACGCGCAAACCTCTTCGCGAACCACAGTGCCAAGAAGCGCGCAAGATCTTCGACGAGGCGAGACGCGCTTACACTCGGGCACTGGCCATTGATGAAGACTCGTCCATGACGCGCCTCAAGCTCGCACAGCTCTATGCGCAGCTCAATGAGCCTTTCGTGCGTGCGCCTCTCCTCCCTCTCTCTCTCCTTCTCGCCTTGCTCATCCCCCCCCCACCCCTCTTTGCAACATACAGGTGGCGCATCAGCAACTCCTTCTCGTCCTCTCCCAAGCGCCTGACGAGGCGCTGGTGCATCTCGAGCTCGCCAAGTCCTTTATGCGTCTCGGCGGCGGGCGATTCTCCGGCGTCTCCTTGCCTTCCCAGACCGACGGCCTGCCCGCCTCCGTCTCGGTGCGCGCGCGAGGCGAGCCCATTGCGCCTCACTCGCAGCACGCAAGCATCGCGCATCACCTCTGCGCCGCCGTGCATCTCGCGCCGCAGCTGGCGCGCGTGGTGCGCGCCATGGGCGAGGGCCCGCGCGGCGCGCTCAGAGGCGCGGCGGCAAAGGCGGCAGAGGAGGTGGATGAGACGTATCGGCGCAGCGCGGATGAGAGCGAAGAGGGCGCCATGTGGAACGATGAGGCCAGCGAAGAGAGAGACGAGGAGATGAGCGAGGACGAGGAAGCGCAAGAGTGGAGCGCCAGCTTGCCGCAGCCGCACGTGGGAGATGAGATGGACACGAGCCTCTGAGGCGCAGTCCTGCGATCTCTGCGAGGGACCCCCCCCCCCTCCTTCCTTTCCCCC